CTGTTGAACAGTACGCATGACTAGGAGTGGTGCATGGCCAACATTTAGTTACCCACAGTCGCTTCTCTTGGAAATGCAGCAGCAAGTTTTGGGAACTCACACTGCAGTTACACTGACCCAGCAGGTGAGGAGTCTCACTGCAGACTTGCAGTTGATCATGTTGACAAAAGCCAACGTGCTACCTCCAGAGAATTTCTGTTTCTCATCTTCCTCAGTTCTGGCTGGCTTCTCTTCTCCCTGTTGTACAGTGCTGGAGTTTGTTCATAAGAAATTCTTTTCTGGTCAGTTACTTTCAAAAAAATAGAAGTCTCCATATCTTTTGCATATATCATCATTGAACATGCTCATAACTGTAAAGAATATGCAGTGACAGTTGTATATAGTGAAAACAATATATGCGACTATGACTTTTTAGAATTGCTAGTAGTAAAATTTTGTCCACAAACTTTATCTTAGAAATTGCAGAGGAAAATATATTTCTTTATGACAGCATAGTAAAACGCTCTTTATATATTTATCCTCTTCTCCATTGTGCTTTGTTCACTCTGACCAGCTATGGCATGAAATCATGTGGGAAAGGAGGAAGGAGATAGTCACTTTGCCAAGGGAACTGACAGAAGAAGGCATGAAATGAACAGCCAGTAAATGTGCCAGGAGCCAGAAAGTTTGTCATGGTTATTTTTCTCCTCTTCCCATTTTGTCAAAGAGCTCTAACTACAAGGATCTTAGTCCAGACTCGAACTGAGTCCAGAATTTAAAAGACCAATATGTGATAGCTGGGAAAATTTATGAGGTTTGTAAAACATAAGGAGTAATTCCTTTCAAAGATAACAGTGAAAGACGGGCCACATTTATAATGTCCCTCACATTTATTTACATGGGACTAGAAAACAGACAATATAGGTTCTAACTCCAGCCCTCTAACAGACCTCCAACATGATGATGATGATGATGATCAGGTCAGTCATCCTCTTCAGCCAACACCCTGGCATCACTGAAGTATTGGGGCCAGAATTTCACTTCTCATATTTCACATGGAGAGATCAAATGCACTTCTCACTTGAAAAGAAATATTGAAAACTATCCAGAAAATTACGATGTGTTGGCTAAAAATAAACAAGAAAATTTAAAGAGGAAAATCTGGTAAGATTCTTTATTCCTCACAGTTACTCTTCCTGTTCAGAGTCTGCTGTGCATGTAAATTCTTCATTTCTGTGTGCATGATTCAAATAGGACACAATCCTGAAAACTGTGGGTTTATTATTCATCTTGATTCACTGACCTCTACAACAGAAGACATAAGCAACCAATGCACCTTCTCTGTTTTTAATTGTCTTGAGAATGAATTTGTTATGTAGACTCATCTAATCATTCACTCTACAGCAGTTTCTTTGAAAAAGGATTTTTGCCCTTTGCCGATATCAGGATCCAGCTCATTTAGCAGTAGCTTGTTTCCCCCCACTCCATTTTATGCCACAGAAATGCTCAAAGGAGAAATGCTGGCACTTGTGGGTGGCAACTTCTCTTGGGGGAGACTCCCAGAATCCACAGCAGCAGAAAACAAAAGCTCAGATTTTGGAATTTGATTCCTGACAGCCAACAAGTTAAGAGTCAAGTAACCAAACCAGCAGGAAATATGGCTCCTGTTTATTCCTGCTTTTACTTCTTCTTCATAATTGTAGTATTTTACAATCGACACTAGGAAATTTTGCCTAGTTACTTTCAGACTATTCCTCCAATTTGTCAAATTAAATTTTAATTTTAATTATGTCCTCCAAATCACTCACAAGACAGTATGAGATGTTCTGCAGTGATTAAATCACTAATTTCTAGTTTATGCAAGACATTAAATGTAACATGAAGACATTACGCATAATATCACTTTCTAATTGAGCACTGTACTTAACTAAGAAGAACAGGTTTTGGCCAGCTCTACGAGGATGAGCCTGGAGGAGTGTTTTTTTCACATTGCAGTCACTGCAAATAACAGAAAAGCTGACAAAAAGTCTTTGGTTAATATTTTTTTCCCCTGAGTCTAGTATTCAGACTAGAGATTGGACTCTGTGATTGGTTCTGACACTGACCTAACTGGGTATTTTTTTAAGATTTCATTAGTGGCTTTAAGATTTCCTCCACAGTTTGCACTTTTGACTTCAAATGTGCAGCTCTGTCCAAAATATTATTTTTATGCTTACTTTATGTGATATATAAATCATCGGTTAGCTCCTAAACAGTGACAGCTTCTGATAGTCCAGCTCAGCTATGTCCAGAGACTTTTTTGGCATGTTTGTCTTCTGTGGACTGAGTCCAGGTTAAATTCTGAAACACCACAACTTCCCCAATGAACAAATAAGATAGCGCTGGTTATTTCCTACCCTTCTGGATATGGCTAAAGCCAGGGCTTGTCCACACCTCATTGCATTCCAGGGAAACACCTACATCAGCTTCACAAAGCCCCTCTTGTGAATCACACAAACAAGTGGCACCTCTCATCCTACAAGAGAAGTGATATAGCCCAACCCAAGTACATGCCCCTGCTCTAAACGTCCATTTCAATAGTTGTGTGATTTGTCACTGGAACTTGGCATAATATCCAGAGTGCATCATCTGACATCAGTTATTTCTCCACATTGACAGCCAAACAGATACTTATGTGTATGCTGAGAGAGTGGGAGGGAGGGAGAGATTCAGGCTTCAAAGAGTTAATTTAAAGCAGCTTCTTTGCTGAAGTTTTCCCTGTTATCAATCTTTCTTTAGTTTTCTAAGGAACCTTTTAATCTCTGTACTTCTACTCAAAGATCAAAGCCTTCCTTTTTCTTAAACAGCTAACCTTACATTATGGTTAATCCATGAAGCACTAGGTTTTCTAAGAGAGCCATATGTGGAACAACCTGAAGGTTCTTGGGCAGATACCCAAAATTACGACATCTCTGAAGAAGGCTAAATTGACTTTGTGGCTGATCTGCCTTCGGGGAAGCCAGGAAAGGTGTCAGGGCAAGGAGGAAAAATCCGACCACTTCTTAAAAAGAGCTTGAACCGGGTTTCATGACGCGTGTCAGGATGTTCAAACTGTATGGAGATGACTACATAGGAGGAAGTAGTTTTTTTAAGGTTAGTGAAAAAACATCTCTCCCCAAAATCATTTGCTTATGGAAAAAAAACCAAAACAAAACAAAACTGGAGTTACAGCAAAGCTTAGAGATCCCAGGTTGGGGGAGGGTAAATTCCAAAATCTGCCTTGTTTCAAAAAGCATGAAAACTGTACATCTTTCTGCACTTGGACTATTCATATTCATTGTATGAGTAATCTTTGCACAGATGTTTCAGAAATACTTTTAAACTGGGTAGGATATGAGTGCAAAGGAATAAAGCTTTTAGCTTCTTTGGTAGCCAAAAACAAAGTAAAGCTAAATTTGTCTGTTGATGATTTAACCCAGTCGAATACTGGATTAAAAAAATATTTAAAGTGTATTCAGTGTTCCTAGTGCAAAGTATTATTTCAGTTCCTACTGAGCAAAACTCACCACACATTGGCAATTAATACTAGATCTAATACAACAAACCCCTTAACATGTTGGTTACCAGACTGTTAAGTCACCACTGTATCAGCTCTAATCCATAAAACTTCTTTCTGTATCATTAAGACACTGCACAGAGACTTCAGTGGCTCTTGTTTGGTCTTACAGAAATTTTTACCTAAGTGATACATTAAATTGACAGGGCACCTGGAGAAAAGTTGGCACCGGTGCTGACTGCAGCTCCTGGGGACCGTAGAAAACTTCATCCCTCGGTGCTGTTGCTGTGCACAGTTCAGAAATGTTACAATTCGACAGCAAAGAAGTGAGATATTAGGTTGGATTAACAGCATTTTCAATGCCTTGGGGTTTTTTTTCCAGAATTCATCTGAGTTAAGCCAGCAAGAAATTAGTGGTTCATTGTTTGCTTTCTCATTGTACCTTGAGGGAAAAACATTTGAATCTAGGAAACAAGAAAATAAAATTTAACTCCTACATGTTTATCTGTAAAGTATGTCACACTGGAAACACACTAGATGACTTCCAAATTTAAACTTGTTAGAGATCCTGTAGGGGGTTCCTGGTTATTATCTGTACAATCTCACCAAAGCAGATGATGTAGTATCAATAGTAATGGAATTATAAGTTAATAGATTAATATTGAATTGTCAGGACAGCAGGTTATATTCTTCTCAAGAGATAACCTAAAGTGTATTGTTCAAAAATTTTTTCAATGAAAGTTAAAAACATGTTATCTGTATTCCCAAACTGAAAGAGAAAATCCTGCAAATACAGCAACTATTATAGTACAGTCAAGACACAGAGAGACTGGACAAAATAGTGCATTAGCCATAGATGATCAATACTATAATAGTAATTATAAAAAGCTGGCTTCCCCATAGTTTCATTTAAATATACAATAAAAAAATATTTTTCCTGGCTTATCCCCCTTTTCTCTTTCTCCATCTTTTTCTTCCTTTTTCTGTCTTATCACTGAAGAAGGTAGTAAAAAGATAGTAGAAGGAGAATACTGGAAATTTTTACTTTAATTAAAAAAAAAGGTTAAAAAATGCAACATGTTTAGAGAATAGTTTTCTAGGAATCATTGTTTTAGCAGAAGGTGCGTCGATGAGCAGGCTCTGCAGTCAAAGAATTCTGGGACCCCTGGAGAAGCAGCATAACCAAAGTCACTAAGACAAAAGATATCTTGAGCTAGGTACATATACACATATTATCTGGTTAAATAAAGACCCTATGTTTTATTCCAAACAGGAAGGATAAAAAAAAAAAAATTAAAAGAAACATTCCCATAACATTAAGAACTCATTGCCTTCCTCATGGAACATCCTAATTGATGAAGCAATTAAGTTTGAAACATTTTAAAATACTTTTGGTCAAATGCATTTGTGCTAAATGACTTCACTCTGACAAAGATCTATTCCTACTCGTAAAGACCGTACTCATCTGTACTTCATTTTCAAACAGGCTTTTTCAAGAAATGCTTCATACTGCAGAGCGCAAGATGATGAGTATCGCTTGGAAGTTACAACTCCTTTGCAGAGGGTTGACTTGTTCATGGGCCAGTTCAACAATGTCCTGTTAACTTCAATATCTGTCTTCACCAAAGGGAACCTTACTGTTGCTAATTTGGGAACTGCGGAGGGACGCTTCATGCAGGTAAATGTTACTACCACACCTTCACAATAAAGAAACCTGCTGGAGGTTAGCAGGATGGTGAAAAGTGAGGAGCAGTATTACCCCAGTTTAACAGGGCATGAGAAGATTGAAATCGCTAAGTAAAATAGATCTTCTGGAGTAGAAACAAAACACCTAATAAAGCATTCAACATTTTAAGTGTTTACATAGGCTTTGTGATTTGGAGCAATGGTTTTTAAGCAAATTCTACCGTGATCTCCAGTTAGTCCAACTGGCTCGGTTCACAGAGCAGTTTTGGTCTATACAAACTAGATTTCTTTCAAAGGAAACTAAACTGAAAGCCCTTTTTGGATACACATCAAATATGCTCCAACTCCAGCTGGGGCACAAAGGTCCAAAACAGTGACTGATTCTTCAAATAGCTTCAGATATACACTTCATGTGGTCTAGAGGATCAGCTTAAACTTAGTTCTGTGTAAAATGGCAAGACAGCTTAAAATGTAGAAGCAGAAGCCTCAGCATTATTTTTTTCTATATACTGATCCACTCCTTTGGCACCAAATTACTTGTTAATGTACCCCTAGCCTATGACTCACAGCTGTAGAATTGAGATTAGCGCCTCCTCCACGTACTTCCAAGTTTCTCTGAGTGCATCTTAAATTTTTGAGTTCTTGCTCATTCCCATCTCACTCTGTTCTTTTGGACAGCAATTCTTCCTTTTCTAGAACAGGTTTTCCATAATAAGCGGTAAATCACCTTCCTGAGAACCTGTCTTCCTCCACTGAGTACATAACTAATCTAGACAGGTAGATTATACTGCACGACTTCTTTGTAGGTGACTAAGAATAAATCTAACCCATAGAGCCAACAGACTTTTGAAAACTTGGCAGTCACAATCAAACATCATAAGACGAAGTACTGTGAAAGCACAAAGGGTTCCCTTTATTCACTCATCTTATTTCAAGCACTGTCATCCAACAAAGACCACCTTGGAGAGCTTGGCTTTTTCAGCTGCCACAGAGTCCAGCCTAGACATGCATGTCAGCCTGGATCCCTCTTGCACCCAAGCACCTCCGTCCTTTTACTGTACCAGTATTATTTGTCTTCTAGCAGGATTCCTGACGTATTGGCTGTCTTTGGACCTTCTTGCTCTGTATGCTGCAGAGAGTCATCAAAGTTAGTAGTGTTGTCCCTCAAACATCATTAACTGAAACCTGATGAGAAGGCCATCAGTTGCTGTGTCCTTCCAGTTTTCCCATTTCCTTTAACCTTCCATTAGAAAATATTTGGGCATATACTACTTTTCATAAAAACAAACCTTCCCTTTCTTCTCTCCCTTCACCTCCCCCCACCCTTACCACATGCAGTAAGTAGAGTTACATCTTGTCCCAAATATATGCCCCCTTTCTGGACAAAGGGAATCCTATACCTTCACTTCTGTCTTCTGCACAGACAGGACACAGAACCTGCCCATAATGCAAAAACTGTAATGCTCCTACAGAGGAGAGCAAAGTGATTTACCACAAAGGACAAACTGGAGAAAATCCTATTTCTCTTTACATCTAGAAGATAGGAATTTAATGAAATGTTCCATGCCAGTTTTACCTGAACTTCCTTCCCATGATGACCTTGGTAACATTAAGTGGCATTTTGTCTTCAGCGCGGGGAAGGCAAATGCCAAGAGCTGCACACTGAGCACAGGACCAACCTGTGTGCAGTTCTTAAATGTAGATACTGGTTCACCCAGAGAACATGAGCAATTTGTTTAACCTTTCTGAAGCCATTTTCTTATCTACAAAATACAGTTAATAACAACTACTGTCTTACAGCATTTCTTCTGGGCTGTCACAAAGCTTTTAGGGAGGTTTGGTGGAAAGTACAAGGCAGCATTAGTTTTATTTGTATTGCTCTTTAAATTATTCATTCAAGTCCTGCACCACACATTTCATTCAGACATTTGCCCAACCCAAGGAACAATTAAAATATTTCCAGACTACATTTCCCATTCCACGTTCAGTTACAGATCAAAAGAAAGGCTATTGTGTAAACTGCATGTTGCCATGAGCTGAAATTCTCATCATTGAATTAGATTGGCTTGAGCTACAGGGGGAAGTCAGCACTGGGCTCATACTGTAAGAAGTAGGAGCTTTTTCTTGGAGGGCTTGCTGCAACCAGCAGAATAAGCATACTGAGTACCTTTAATGACACTTCCTCCAAATAAAAAGGTCCGTATTTGTTTTGCCTTTAAATAATCTTGGAAGGGATATTAAGTCCATAGGATATAGCAGACACAGCTTGCTGCAGAATTTAATGTTCGATTACATTAATTTTTTTTTCTTTTTTTTCACTAATAGTTATCTAGGAAATGCTTTCAAACATGTTCATTAGCAAATGCCCCACTAAAGCAGATTTTCAGTGTTTCTATGGAAATATGGCTATTAACTGCAATGAGATGGAGATCATTAAAAATTGAGCTATTAAATGACCATTACTGAAGTAAAATGGGTTAAAAAAATCTGGATAATCTAACGACTTAATTATCAAAAAAGATATCCCCAAAAGCTTCCCCTCATTTTTTAGCAAAGAAATGTAACAATGTTCTTTTCTGTTTCATTCACAAATCTACTGGAACATATTGCAAAGAATCCTGCCCTTCATTTAATATGCATCACACTTCTGCACAGTCATTTGCACTCATGTTTTTAGCTCTTTGTACAAGCAAATATTCAATTTTCCTGTGCAATCCCTTTGTAACTTGTAGCTAGCTATTCAGCCTTCAGATAGGTATGTTTTAATTACAAAATTCTACCTATCAGGGAACCTGTTTTAAAAGTGGTTATATTGTATTAATATCTTGCGAACATATTTTCATGCCAACTATTTAAAAGCAAAACAAAAATATTCATATATATGTTTCTAAAATTAGAAAATAAGTTCAACCCTTCCAGTGAATCAAGTTCATCTTGTATCCTCTTTGAAATGCCAAATCTTACCATATTTAGACAATTTAGTTTGTGACATTAATTTCAGCACTAGCAGTCAGCCATGAGATTAAAAGGAATACAGTTATACAATACCTCTGTCGTTGACAACTGCACCCTGAAATGCACAAATCTGAAACAGCTTCCTCAAAGTAATGAATATTTAATTCATATTTTTTCGCTATTAATTTAAGGTTTCCTTTAATTGTTATGAAGCATTCTGGGGGGAAAAAAAAAAAAAAAGATGTTTCAAACATACTGATCATGTCACCTAAATCAAAGGGATGCTCCAAGCCCGTGCTGTGGAAGCCAGTAAGGTGCAGCTGCAAGCTACTAATGCTCAACCTGAGAGAAATTTATTTGAAAATATTTCTCATATTCTCCTATTATACCTCTCTATACTTGATCAGCAGCCAGCCACTTGATTCTCTTTATTTACTTCCTTTCCTTTTCCTTGCCATCTTTCCATCTCCTTTTGCATTTTTTCCGCTCTTCGCTTTTCTGCCTCCCTACTGCCCCATCAGCTCTGACTCTTATTTCCACCTCCATCCATTTTTCTCTCTTTACCCTGCAACTATAGCACAGCATTGCTGCAAAAATCAACAGAAGGTTTAACATGTAGTTTCTGAGAACAAAATTTTTGCTTCTGTAGATAGTAGCTACCTGTTTCTGGGGTTTTGATGTATTTAGAGATATTTCAATCACAATTAATAGTTCCTACCTTTACAAGTGATTCCGCTGAAGCTTATGGCATTACCCACCAAAACTGTGCTAATGACCTAACTCAGAACAAGGCCTGTATTTTGATTATTTCAAAAAAGTCATCTGAGGAGACAATAATACTCAGAATGCAAAAGCAGGTACGTTTTATCCAACCAAGTAGCAGTCACCTGTTGTTTGCTGCTTATGCTTTTAGTTTGATTAAATAGAATTATTGACTTAAACAGGTCTGGAAAGCACTAACACTAGAAAGGAAATGCAGCCTCCTTCACCAAATGTTTTTTTCAGCCAAAATCTAAAACTAAAATAAAATCAATCTGGATGGTCCAAATACAGAAGATTCATGAGTTCTTTTAAGGAGGATAATTGGGGCCAGGAGGTGAATTCCAAAGCTTTCCTGGAGAGTAATTGTAACCCATTGACATATTGAGCATGTTTTGGCTGCATCAGAAATGTTAAATCTGTATTTGGCTGTAAGTAGATTGGAGTTTGTAGTTTACAAATATTGTGGAGTTTTTGTTACAAAACAGAGCACTAATAATTTTTCTAAGACAGCTGACATGCATGAGACGGAAAAGAAAAATGGTTGTACTTCCTTCCTAAGCTGGAGCCTGACAACAAGCTTTTTTTTCCCCCTCTTTTTTTTCTGTTGAAAAGTTGCAGCTGTTTCAGCCTTTCTTATTGTGCTTATTTTCAAAGTGTGACTGGGAACACAGACTGAAAGTACAGCTGTTGGGTGCAAAATGAATCAGGTATTTCACAGTGGTTATTTGATTAGAAAACAGCACCAAGTCACACTGCTATAGCTGAGGAATCAGATTTTCAGCTGGTGTAAAGCAGCCTTACTCTGCTCAAGCTACAGAAGCTACTCTGATAATACAACTTAAAACTGGAAAAGACACTTTCATTACCAGCAAGTTTTTTGAGAACTTATAGTTTGTCAAAAAAAAACACCCAATCCATGATATATTAAGATAAAATATTTTCTGGTTTTGCTCAGTTCCAAGGTGATTTTTTTTTTCTCTGCCTGGAGCTTGGTATTATTTCAGAGAGTGACTTTTGAGTGATGAAGAAGAGAGCAAAGTTCTTCAGGAATGGGAAATCTTTCTGATAGCTCTGCGGAGAGTGGGATATGGGAAAGTTTTACAAGATTTGTTCTGAAAAGTTCACATTTGGTCTGGCCTTGACAATGAAGAAGAGACCAATGCACTTAGCAAGTGCAGAGGCTGGTTTTCAGCATAAAACACTACGTTTGGAAGTAGAATGCTGCATGTGCTCCCTATGCTTGAAGGTGGCCTTACCAAGGTAAAGTCCACGCAA